TTTTTGATTGTAAATTTTTTTCTCAAAATTGTCATTGTAGCACAAAAAGTTCAGTGACTAAGTGACTTGCACCATAGGTAGATATAACTATGACTATGATCCTGATATGCGTGTGTTGGCACTCTTTCTTTGAGTGTGGTGTGATTCAATACTTTGGCCACATGCGAACTATCATCAGGATAACGATGTGGCCAATTCTGAATTTTTGGCCCCATTCGAATGTGGCGGATTCCGCGTTTTTGGCCACATTTGAACTTTCATATATCTCGTGTCAATTGTGTGGGCTATTCCAGAACTGGATGCAAAGCATCCTAGCTTGCAAATGTGTATTGATGTAATTTTTCATAAAATAGACTATTTCATGATCATGTGCTAGTAGTCTAATAAATTGCTACAAAAACTTATAAATAGAACCTCTATCCCCTCACTTTGGACCAAAAAAACCAATTTGTAAAAAAAATACGAATCTCCTATACCACTATAAATAATAGAGACACGAAGTGTCAAATTGGCAATCTGTATTTGGCTTTGTACGTTGCATTCGAATACTGGAGTTGAGGCATATAATGCCAAAATAGTATTCGTGATCAGGTTTTGGATGATGTATTGATCGAGTAGTCTAATAAATTACTTCGAAAACGTATAAATAGAACCTCTATCCCCCCACTTTGAACCAAAAAATCGATTCGTGAAAAAAAATACACATCTCTTATATCGCTATAAACAATACATTTTCTAGGCAAACTGCCAACTTTTTTGATTGTGAGAGTTGAGGCATGAAATGCCGAATTGGCAATCCATATTTTGGCTTTATATGTTGCATTCGAATTCGAGGATGAGGCACATAATGCCGAAATAGCAATCTGTATTTTGCCTTGCGCAACATTTTCGATTGCCGGATTTGAGGCACATAGTGCAGAATGCCATCTATTTGGTAGGATGCAAAAGCAATATTTTTCTTTCTTTTCCTATATATAATTCTACCTTTGCGTCCTACCAAAAGTTTGCTATGTTTTGGATCTCTAGAAACCTTTCTTGCATAGTCAATACTTTTGGGTACTACTGATTTGAAAGAAAATTGGGTCATACTTTGGTGTATTACTATATCGAAAAATTTATTGCTTTTGCGTACTACTACTACTGATTCAAAAAATTTATTCTTACTTTTGCATACTATGCTTTTGTGTCACACGAATTTTTATTTAAAAGTTTTGAATTTTCTGTAATTTATATCTCTTTGTTCCACTCACCTAAGTGTCTATAACATGCATTCGTATAATCCACTTCTGCTTCCGGATATGATTGCAATAATCGTTCAAAAACTCCCATTGGATAGTATTAGTATAGCTTTATAGATTAACCATACTTGGTATAAGGAAGTGAAGCATGAATTGCATATGAGGCGCGAAAGGTTTAAAAATCAATATTGGAGAACAGTATCAGTAAGATATATGGAAATACAGCTTAAAGAACAATGTTGGAAAGAGGAGGGTAGACAATTTAGCAACTACATGGGTACTGATGACTATAAAAAACACAATGACAAAATGAGATTTTTAGATGGGAAATGTAATGAAACCTTCTATAAACTAGTAGAAGTAGAAAGATGCATGTTACGAATTAAATTAATCAGAAGAAGAGAAAGAGGTCCATATCTTTGAAAATGGAGGAGGAGCAGTGGTTTGAAAACAGCATGTTTTATTAGCGTTTTATTAGTATTACGAGCTTTCAATTGCTAAGGCTTCTGGAAAATTGTTACATTTATAAAAATTATTAGAGGTTTTTAATCAGGATATGTTTGTAAAACAGTGCTATGGAGAGAGAATTTTAATTTCATACAATTTTTTCGGAAGTTGCAATAGATAGAAGTATTACGATAAAGAAAGAAATTTTCTGTATTTTGAATGAGCTTTTTTACGCCATTGGTATTTTTATATCTGTTAAATCTTTCCATAGCTCTAATTTATATTACATATACTATCTTGCACGCTAATTTGGTGTTCATATCTTTAATAACGGAGGAGGAGTAGTGGTTTGAAAACAGCATGTTTTATTAGTGTTTTATTAGTATTACGAACTTTCAATTGCCAAGGATTCTGAAAAATCGTTACATTTATAAAAATTATTAGAGGTTTTTAATCAGGATACATTTGTAGAACAGTGCTATGGAGAAAGAATTTTAATTTCATACAATTTTTTCAGAAGTTGCAATAGATAGAAGTATTACGATAAAGAAAGAAATTTTCTGTATTTTGAATGAGCTTTTTTATGCCATTGGTATTTTTATATCCATTAAATCTTTCTGTAGCTCTAATTTATATTACATATACTATCTTGCACGCTAATTTGGTGTTAATATCTTTAATAATGGAGGAGGAGTAGTGGTTTGAAAACAGCATGTTTTATTAGCGTTTTATTAGTATTACGAACTTTCAATTGCTAAGGCTTCTGGAAAATCGTTACATTTATAAAATTATTAGAGGTTTTTAATTAGGTTACATTTGTAGAACAGTGCTATGGAGAGAGAATCTTTATTTCATCCAATTTTTTCAGAAGTTGCAATAGATAGAAGTATTACGATAATGAAAGAACTTTTCTGTATTTCGAATGAGTTTTTTTATGCCACTGGTATTTTTAATCTATTAAATCTTTCCACAGCTCTAAAGTATAATGTATATACTACCTTTCATGGAAATTTAATGCCTATATCTTTGAAAACGGGGAGGGGTTGTGTTTTGAAAACAATATGTTTAATATGTTCTTTATGTAAATTTTTGGAAATCCTGTATGTGATATGACATTAATTAGCTTTGATTTTCTTAGAATGTCGCACACCCCAATACCTTATGAATTGTGTTTGTTATAGTGGAAATTGTGGCAATCTTTTACATTAATGATTAAAGTTGATGTGGTTTTTAAATGCGATGTGTTAAAATTATTTGTGCATTATCCTTTTTTGATGGTTGCAATAAAGTATTAATGTTTGTATACTATCCTTTTTTTTTTACTGATGAAGAAATTATTAGGAACCAAATCTTGAGGTTGATGATTCTGATGATGGTTATTTCTGATAAAGAGGCATTAAATAGTTTAGAAAAAGTGATTCAATATTTAAAAAATACAATTAGCTATCTATCTATTATATTAAAAACGTGAGCGTAACGTTTAGAATGGCAAATAAACCTAAGGTTTAGAATAGCACGCGTATAAATAAACATAACGTTTAGGCTGCTATGCATAAATAATGATTTTTGAATTGTGCATTAATGCAAGCGTGTGTCAGAATTTACCTATTATTGTATCGTTGAGTTACGTTTAGACACAAATAAATATGTTGTGATGCGTAACGTTTTAGACTAACACATGCAATCCATCTATTATTGTATCGTTGGGTTACGTTTAGACTACCACAAGCACATAAATAAATATGTTGTGATGCATAATAATTTTTAAATATAATAATTAGAATTTTTCAGTCTGAGATAACTTTGTTATCTCTAATTTTTAAATTGTGTAATTGTGTAATAATTAATCTGTTATGTATATACTGTATATATCTGAGAAGTTATTATAAATGCAACAGAATAAAAACCCGTGTTCTGCTCATTGATTAGTATAATAACTAAATAAATGTGTGTCGGAAATTAGTTGATTTTAGAGGGGTGGAGTGGTTGGCCTTTGGATCAGGTCACATGGTATTATATATGTATATATTATAAGACAAAAATAAATCAGCTGGTAGTTGTAACCCGTCAGCGAAGCGACGGGGCTACAACTAGTAATAATTATAATAGAGATATACTTCAAAAAAAATTTTTTTAATTAAATTTGCGGCGACAATCACCACCAGTGAGAAATAGCAATCCCCAATATTATTACTTACAAATTTGTTCTTCATAAGATTAATGTAGATCTAATTATAAACATCCACCAGCAAATTACAGCATATCAAGACGGCAATGACGTTGGTAGGCCAATATATCCATATGAATTAATTTCTAAGCATTTTAATAGACAACCTCCCAATGAAAAAATTCATATTATTGTATGAGTAAATACCCAACCCCCCATTAGTAATAGTGGATATGTATTTTATATACGTCAGCAGTATGTAACTGCGATATGATTTTTTATTTTATTTCTATGTTGTTATTTCGGTAACATTTTTTATATATCAATAAATTAAGGTTCTATGTAACCATTTGTCTCGATCAGAATTATGTGGATGTCCGTGCTTATTTCATCAAAATCATGTGCGCGTGAGCAATTGTTCACGCTGATCACTTTAGCAAAGAAAAAAAAATTGAATGTGTCTCAATCAGTGTTGTGACCCGAAACTCTGAGTTTAGGGAAAACCAGAAACAGAAACTAACAGAAACCACCCGAAACTAGTTTA